GCAGGAATGTGTGGCCTCGCCAGGAAATGGAGCCGACATTTGTACCATTATTTCTGTGAGAAAGGGGTCCTCAACTCTAAATCCCCAATTTCGATACAGACTTTGGAAATACGATCCATTTCTATGTTGGGATGTATCGGTGTTAATTCATTGGTGTTCTTTTCAGTAGCTACTCCGAAACATGGGGGCCTGTGTGTGTGTCCAGTTTTATGTGATTTACCCCTTGTGGGCCCCAAGAAGAATGGACCCACAAAAAGGACGCCTGTGGTTCATCGGAAGGTAAATTGTTTGCTGAGGTCCCTCACGCTCCCTGCACTTCCGACTGGGCTGCCAGCCTCCTGACCTCTGTCAGCCAGGATAAGAGAGCTCCTAGGATCGAAATTCCCCCAATAGGACTGAGACTTTCCCCGTCCAATCAGAGCTGGGCAGCTACATCCTCATTTGCATCTTCACTGACTAATCCAGTGGTTCTCAACCTTCCTAATGCCGCGGCCCTTTAATACAGTTCTTCATGTGGTGATGACCCCCAATTTCATTGTTACAAATTGAACATCATTAAGCATCGTGATTAATTACAAAAACAATATGTAATTATATATGTGTTTTCCGATGGTCTTAGGCGACCCCTGTGAAAGGGTTGTTCGACCCCCAAAGGGGTCGCGACCCAGAGGTTGAGAACCACTGGACTAATCAGAGCAGCTTTATTCTGGCAGAGCAGTTATGGTGCTATTTGGACCAGTCATGGTGTGGGGTCCTCATTTGCATAGGAATGGACCAATCAGGAAATGGGGGCGGGTAAATTTTCCTGTAAGTGACAGCTTCACCTCTGCCTCAGGGGAGTGCACTTCAGTGTCCACGGAAGGCTGCATTTCTGGGGCCGGGGCCTGGGCTGGGGCTGCAACATCTGAGCTGTAGCACCAGGGCCTCCTTGCTGTTCCACAGCTGAGCTGTTTCCACTGAATAAAGTCTCTCCCCTCCTTGCACCCCAAATCGGAGATTTCTGTTGGTGCTGAATTGATGACAGCAACCTTTAGGTGACACCCCATTCTTCTGCATAGTTGTATAGTTGGTTTAGCAACCATTTATTTATATTTAGTTAGTTTTACTTTTTTTATTGACCTTAGAGAGAGGAAGGGAGGGAGGGAGGGAGGGAGAGAGAGAGAGAGAGAGAGAGAGAGAGACATTGATGTGAGAGAAACATGGGTCAGTTGCCTCCCGCATGGCCCTGACCTAGGATCGAACCTGCAACCCAGGTATGTGCCCTGACCAGGAATCGAACCGGCCACCTTTTGGTGTACGGGACGATTCTCCAACCAGTGGAGCCACACCTGCCAGGACAGCAACCATTTCTCGAGCCCCACTACGGCCATCATTGTCCCAGGAGCATGGCCGGAGGTGGGATACCCAGGACTCTGTCCTCAAGACCTCGCAGTCCGTCAGGGAAGCGCCTGAACTCCAGCCAAGGCAGGGCCTGTGGCTCTTGCTCTCGGGAGACCTGCGTGTCCAGCGGTGAATGTCGGAGCCGGGTTCCTCTTCCCTGGGGCCTGCATTTGGCCATCTCACAGCTCATTAGTTTTGCTCTAAGGACGGGCGGGGCCGGGGAGAGAGGAGCAGGGAGAAACAGAATTCATTTGTCTGAAGCTTTGCTGCAAAGGGGCGAAATCCGAGTGACATGGCCTCTTAAGTTACTTTCATCTGTGTTGGCCTCGCTGCCTATTTTCATAGATAAGGGATCATGGATTAGATGGTTATAATTTCTGGAACAAAGTGAGGCATGAATGTGGTTTTAAAACGTGTAAAACAACGTGAGCGCCTCTCCCTCCCACAGCCTCCCAATCTTAGACTCTCTCTGCAGGGGGAGTTACTGCTGAGTTTCTTTCCCAGCCCTCTGGATTAAAAAATATATATATACTCAGATA